CTTCGTCCCCCCCCCCCCCCCCCCCCCCTTAAGACCCCCTTAAGGGGGTGACCCTTAAGCCCCCCCTTGAAGCCCCCCTTAAGCCCCCCTTGAAGCCCCCCTTAAGCCCCCCCTTCGTCGAAGGTCTGGGGCCCAGCCCCGAGTCGCCCGCCCGCGGCCGGACTCCTGAACCCTGAGCAGCACCCGTGGAAAAGAATAAGAGCGCTTCTCTGTTTGCATGCTTAGGACTGCAGTTGACTAGAGTACATGAACTGTCTAGAGAACTGATAGGGCCTGTGACCAACAAGCATTGGGCTTTGAAGTAACCTGGGATAAAAGTCAGATTTCAATTTCATAATAGTTCCTTCAATTAGCAGGTACAAGAAAAGTGTTCAAATATGGGACTCTCTAACTCTGAGAAACAGAAAGACTTGCTTTTGGATAGCAGTTGTGATTCCTGTAGATCACTCATGCCGCCACAGTATGCTTACAGTCATGTTTTTCGTCTCTAGTTCTCTTCCAGAACTTGAAGTCGTTACTGTCAAGACGGAATTTGCGATGGCCACGCTTACTGTTTGTCTTTAAGCGGGGCGTAGCCGATGTGTTAGCAAGCAGCTGGTTGCCGGGTGAAACTGGAAACCACCTGGCTAGCGTAGGCGGAAACAGGTCCCTGAAAGTTCGACCCGATTGGGTACAGCATCCATTGCATCGATGGAGTTGTGTTCCGCAGACATTTTGTCTCCGGCTGGCTTGCCACTAGTTGCGGGCAGTCACTTTCCAGAGCAAGCTCACCATGCGCACGCAGTGGCTATGCCAAGCGAAAGGTGCCAGCTTGGTTTACAGTCGTAGAAACCTGAATATTTACACGGGTTTCAACTGTCTGGAATGTATTCCAACATCACTAAACAAGATTACTGGGGAATGGTTTTATCTTTTCAGTTCTGGTTCACTTGCTTCCTGAGTAGAAAATGGTGCAGGTGATCCCTGCAGTCCCGGATGAGTCCTCCATCCCATCGGGTTTAGGGTTGAGGGTTTAGTGACCACTGGCCCCAAATATTAAACATCCCCCTATCCACCAAAAGATGCCCTATAGCGCAATAGGAGCCCCAATATGCTTGGGACCATATGTTGTGTCAGGAGGGTCGGGTGTCTTTCATATGAGGGGAAGGGACCCATTCACCCCAAAACTCCAAAGCCTTACGACCTCCAGCCCGAAACATTGGCAGCCCAAACACTAAACCCTAAACCCTAACCCTAAACCCTCAACCCCTAAACCCTAAACCCCTAAATCTTAGTCCTAAACCCTAGACATTAGCAGGCTGCTCCCAATCCTTCACGCACCTCATGGCCTACACTCTCTGCCAGGCCGCTAACGACACCTGCTCGTGTTTAAGTGAGACAGGGGGGCCGATGCGGTTAGGGTTTAGGGCTTAGGCATCCCTATGATCACCCTCCGGTCGGTGGAACGCACATAATCTTTTCATTATCAATGCCAGGGCCCCAGTAGGGTACCCTTCTGTGAAAAGATGCTTCAACAATCCTGACATTGAGTTCAACAAGTAACAGACGCTGCTCGTTTGGCTTGGGTTGCACACATACAGTGGGCTTTTAGAGTGTGGGCCACCAAATTGTAGCAAGACCTCGAGAATGTCTCCTCATCCATGGTGGACTCTTATTCTACTTGTGCCGACTATAGTGACATGTTCCTTCCTAGCCGCCCTAAGCCCCATATTACGCTTATCTATGGTGGGCTCTTTAATTTTTTCTACTTGTGCCGACTATAGTGACATGTTCCTCCCTAGCCGCCCTAAGCCCCATATTACGCTTATCTATGGTGGGCTCTTTAATTTTTCTACTTGTGCCGACTATAGTGACATGTTCCTCCCTAGCCGCCCTAAGCCCCATACTACGCACCCATTGCCCCGTCTTCCGCACTTCACCTAAAACATCCGAAGGCCTTAAACCTGAACATATCTTAAACCCTTAATCTCTAGACCTTACTTGGAGGGTCGGGGGACTTAGTGCATGGTTATTTTATAGACTTGTAAGTACTATAACCTCAATTAGGGTCCCTTTTAGGGTACTTATAAGTCTACTTATTACCTACTTACTAAGTCTCCCGACCCTCCAAGTACGCCCCGAAACCCTAAATTCTCAACCCTAAAACCCTAAACCCTAAATTCTCAACCCCTGAGCCCCGAAGATGATATTTGGCATGGCCTGCAGTGTCCTGGGGCCCACCATCCCGTGGCTGGCCGGCAGAGCCGGGGTGCAGCCGGAAGCTTTGGGACTCCTGCCGTTTCTGGGGCAATGTATAGTTTGGGGCTTTGGGGTTTTAGGGTTTAGGGTTTGGGGCAGTATAGTATAGGGTCTAAGACGTAGGCTTTGGGGTTCAAGGTTAGTGGGGGTTAGGGTTTGGGGGTTGGGCGGATAGGGTGTGGTGTTTAGGACGTTTCTGTTTTGGGGTATAGGGTCTTTGAAGTTATAGTATTCTGTGTTCTTGGGATTGGGCTTGTACCTCACCATTTTGTAGTAGATTTGGTCCTTGCAACCTCCCCACCCCACACATGGGTTCTTTGCTAAACGTTGAACGCTGCGACGGAAACGTTCAAGCCTCGCCTGCCGTGTGCGAGTGTGAGGCTCGCATTTCCGAGCCCCAAATCTTGAAACCCAAGCCCAAAAAAGCCCTAAACCCCACCCAACACGCGAAATTCGCAACCCTAAACCCCAGAACCCTAGAAGTAGAGCCTAAACCGTGTTGGCCAGGTTAGTGCAGACTTTCGTCTGCATCCTCTCAGCGCTCGCATCCACGTCTGTGGCCTTGGTCCCCAGGAAACACCACCACCGGCTCCGTGGGAGCAATAGAGGGGCCGTAATGGGGTATTTAGGGTTTAGGCTTTAGGGTTTAGAGGCGCCTTACTTAATACTTAGACTAGGGCTTCTACATTAGACTCAAGCTCAATTTTGGGGTTTTGGATTACCTTGATAGCTATGTGGGCCCCCTTGCCTGTATGCTCGGGTTGTTAATGCTACAAATGTTTGGTAAAGATTGGTGCTCTCCAAACTGGCTTAGGCTCCTTGCTGGGCTGCTGCTGTGGCTTAGTGTCTTCTTCCTACTGCTGCCCACAGCCAGCGGGTCCCTTCCGACTCTGATGGCTACATTTGGTGCCATGGTCTGGCCAAGGCCCTGGATCTCACAGATGACATCTCTCCTGGTTGCAGATCTCTATGAGGACCCAAGTCACGGGAGTGCGTCACAGAGCTTCAACAAAGGCGGGTTTGCAGCTGGCTGTGTGGTGATCGTCCTGTTGGAGAAGCTCTCCTCAAGTACTTGCGGCACAGAAGTTACATTCTATGCTGCTGCCGCCTCCACCGCATTATCTGCACTTCTCCTCATATGTGTGGGAGAACCGAAGCCCCAGCAACAGGCACGCCATGCAGGACAGCAACACCCTGCAAGGTGTCTGGTGCTGAAGTGCTGCATGTTGTGCCTGGGATGTCATTGGGATTGTTTCGAAAACTTGCCATAAGTTCAAGAGGTTGGTTCAACAGTGCATTCCCCCTATACAAAGCCCTCACCGCTACACTACCAAATGTGAAGCTTTAGACCTGAAGCCTCAAGAGCTGCCAAGTGCAGGTACGGCCTATCCATGGGCCTTGAGGCTACCGTAGGATTCTGGCTGATCACAGTGATGACCCGGATGCTGGCTGCTATTAAGGAAACTCATTTCACTTGCCGTGCTCTGGCTTTTGGTCGCTACTGGAATTTGCTTCTTATGCTCGCCTCTTCTGTCGTTCTTTTACCGCAGCTCAGGACGGGCTTCGACTCTGCTGCAGCTAGTGCCTGTAACGTGGCCTTCTATATGCTTTTCGCCGTCAGCCGTTTGGTCTTCACGCCTTGCCTTTGCCATCGCCTTCGCCCGCGACCGGCAACTGTGATACTGGGAGGGGCCTTTGTTACTTTACTTTGTTGCGTTCCAGCTGCGCTTTGGCCACGCTGGCTGCCTGCAGTGTCACTGGGTCATTGTTGCATTCGACATTAGGCTAGGCATGTTGCTCTAGTCTGCCTCCACCAGTTCAGTTGAGGGAATGTCATCAACTTGCCACAGACACGGGCTCTAGCTTTGAGTTCACCGTGATCCAGGTTGTTGGCTGTAGCTGGCATACCGCTGGGTCTTGGGCCGGTGCAGCCGATGACAGTCAGCTTGCTCAAGGATCAGGGGGAGATGACGAACGTCCACACTGGCATGCTGTCTATTTCCTGCACGGTAGGCTCTGGTGCCGGGCCCTTCCTGATGAGTGAAGTGCTTCAGGCGCGTTTTTTTCTCTCTGAAACCTTGCATCTAAATTTCAACTAAAATGCAGCTGGGTTCACAAGATAACAACCCTCGTCACTGCAAGAGACCACAGTTCCGTCTGACCTTCAGGCTTTTGGTCTTGAGACCTTCTTCCGAGCATTCACGGCAACCTTGGGGCTGCTCTTGCTACTGCCATTCCTGATGCTTAGCTGTGAGAATTCGGGCATCCGGGGGCTCTGCTAGGACTTTGGCAACCTTGGTTTTTCTCGATCATTGGGTGCCCTGCTTCCAATATTTCCAAGAGTGTTCCCTAAAGTCTGAATGCTCATGTCCACGTCGGAATTCTTCAATGCTTCATTGCTGAGACCAGGACAGAACCCGGCTCACGGTCGAGCAAGAAGGAAGTCCCGGCGACCACAGTCTCGGGGCAAGGACCTGTGGAAGGCAGCAGTAGCTGCTGACAGACTCCTGTAGACAGAGGTTTTGG